CCTACACAAGCAAAGAACATCAGTGCTGTAGTCAGCACCTTTACGATTACGAAACATATTTAAAACGACCCTTAAATTATGTTTGTAGTTATTCCATTGTCCTCAATATATTTGATTGTAACAGTAGTACGATAGCTTTTCTTCCATTAACTCAAAGGGGTCTATTGTGTTCTTTGACCAACCAGATGCATTTGTATTTATTTGGCAATATGTACGTAAAGAACTTAATAGTTTTTTCTTTCCAAATCGAAACTGTGTACCCGGAACATATAAAAATTATCCGAATCAAACTAAAATTCATAAATTTCTATGTGCAAGGGTGATAATAACAATAATTTTAGTCGATTATTCTTAACAAATATTGATCTTATATGTAAATTATACTCTTACTTTCCAAACTATAATGAAGTCGACAACTTAGTATATTGGAGCCAGCCAGCTAAAAGTTAAGAAGTTTTTCTTTGTTCAACTATGTCAGTGGATAAGTGAAAATCTGTCTTGAGAATTTCGGAATGTATACGTAGCAATCATTTTGACCATTCTTTGTTTTTGGTGATACTACGTGACAATTTCTGGACCATTCTTTTCCAAGTTTGATCCTTACTTACAAAATTGGCTTTACTATTTTTGTAATGTTCATTCTAATTTTAACTGATCAATTATATGTGGTTTACCCTAGAGAACTTTATGTATTATTTCACACATGCATGATGCATGCCCAATAATTTTCCAATGAGAGACATCAACAAATGCAATTATTTGTCTGTTGGCAAAAAGTTTATGACGATGGGAGGCTATCTTATTCCAGAATCAGGTATATATTAAGATTTTTTTAAGGACTTACATAGGAGGTTTTAGTTTTTTTTGTTTTTGTTTTTGTTTTTATAGATTATCCATCAAAAGAAATTGTCGGCAACGAAATTCAAACATAAGCCTTGATAGCAAAGAGAATGATCCTTACCAACTTAACCAACTTTCGTTGGCACAAACTCAATTATTTATACGTACCCACGTCATTAGATGTTCGATCGACTCTCACACCTCCTTTTTTTCCTGTACAATAGAAACAAAAACATACAATTATTTGTCAATCAAGAAACTGAGTTAAATTAGTTTCATGTATGATGTATTGAAGAAAGTCATGCGATTGGACTCTAGAAAATCTGACAAAATCTATATCAAATATATAAAATCAAAACCGGACCCCTTTTTTTCATGTCGAACATTTGAGACATTTGTCATTCATGGCATATTTTGCGAAATATAGGACAAGAAAAAGTGAAAACTAAAACAACGACAATATATTTTTCAATTATTCATGCATATATATACCTCTTATTCGGCAGTTTGGAATCCAATTTATAATACCAAGCCAAGATACGTGTTACCATCATAAAACATTAATATGTGTGAAAACAATTACAGATATGATAGTAAGATATGCAAAGCGCCTTGCAGAAAACAATTTGTTAAAGTCAACTATATCTTTTTCATCCCAAAGAAAAAAAAGAAAAAAAAAATTATGTCCCTTTCATGCATAATATTTTTTTAATTATATGCATGTCACAGGGATAGCATTAGGATGTTTTCGGCACTTGCCAATGCCCCATCCAATAATAATTCATGAGTTCCCCATTATCACTTGAAAAACCTCATCCCCACCACTCTACTAATTAGTATTTTTATTATTTTTATAAAAAAAAGATAGAGAGAGGGGTAGGGTTTTAACTCATAGTTAGGATGCCACATTTAAGCAATCATATACCAAAGTTTCTCCCTTCATCTTTTTGCCTTCCCCATCCAAAATACTAATATAATGCAATGGAAACTTTCACATATGGAAGTCCACATCATATTTAGGTGCAATACAACAAAAGATTTGGTTAATTGAGGCTAACTCCTCTTTACCTTAACCAGTCTCCTAACTTGGGATGATGACTTGGCTCCCTTATTTATGGCATTTAGGTGAGACTCTATTTTTTAACTGTTGAATCAAATTAGTTAGCCGTTAGATCAAATGGATTAGTTTGATCCAGTGGTTAAGAAATATGACTTCACCTAAAGACCATATATAAGAGCATTTCCAGCAAGGGGCCTAGGGGGGGGGGGGGGGGGGGGGGTTGGGGTAAAAACTCGTTTCCAGCAGTGGAGGCAGGCCCGGGCAAGATGGTGGGACCCAGCAAAACTGGCTGGCCCGAGGGCAGGGCTGGCCCGAGCTCCAGCCAGGGCTAGCCTGTGCTGACGTCATCGTGACGCCAGTGCTACAGTGTCGCCAACAATTATGTGCCATGTGTCGTGTCCTGGGCTCTTCGATCATAATTTTTGCTTCAATCCAACGGCAGCCAATATTTTTGTAATAAAAAATTGAAAAACAATCTGAAAAAATTGAAAAAAATACCAAAAAATTACTTTTTTTTTTTTTTTTCTCTATACCTTATTTCCATTTTCAACATTTAAGTAAATGTCTTTGTCCTTTTACTTTTATTTATTTTTATATTACTCCATTTACTTAAGTTTACAATGTAAATAAGGAAGCACCCCCCATTTGGATTCAAATAAAAATACTAGAAAATCAAATTCCCACCAAATCAAAATATGAAAAATCGGTTTTAGTGCAAAATACGATTTAGGCTAAAAATGATGGCTCATTAAGTCAATATATACTTCATATTAAAATCTCATAAAATCAAATTTTCTTATTTGATGTGTAAGGAATAAAAGCCGCCAAAAATTATCTTGAGAAAATGATTATTCCGAAAAACCATTTTTCATACTTAGTCAATATTGCACCTCCGCTTTTAACACTTTTACACAAATCCAAATCCTTTTTTTTTTTTTTTTTTTTTTTTTTTTAAATACCAACCAATACAACTAATAAAATAAAATATTATCTGAAAATCTTATCCGATATGAATAGTGTTGACACGTAGGAACCCAAAAATCTTATCCGAAAATATTATCCAAATCAAATGTTTAAGTAAACAAAGTTGTGAAAAAAACAAAAAAATGAATAGTATTTGCCATGGCAAGCCTAAAACTGCTGGAAACACACTTTGCTGGGGGGGGTTAGGGCAGCCACTATTCACGTGAATAGTAGCCGCCCTAGGGCTCCCCTTGCCATGACTGGTGGAAGTGCTCTAAGGCCCTCACTATATAATGACTCATACGATTATTGCCTATTGAAATGGGCCCTTTTGTGAAGAGCCCTTATTATTTTAAGTTCTAGCGTTAAAAAGCTAGAAGACTATAATAAGAGAAAATAAGTAGAAGCATTGTTTATTTTTTCTATAATTTTTTTTGTTTTTGGGTTAAGAAAATTAAGAAGTGTTGTTGTTACTTCAAACTTCTTACAGAATCTTTTTGGTACAATTCTTCCAGAATCTATTTTCTAAGAGCATCTCCAGCGCTAGGGCTTTGCCCTGGCAACAGGCCCCTCCAAGCCCAGGTTTCATACTCCAGCGCAGGAAATCTAGCCCGGGCAAGGCATAGGACCCACCAGCCCGGGCAAGCCCACAGGCAGAAATTGACTGGGCTGTTGCCCGCGGGCTGCTGACATTAGCATGACGTCAACAACTGATTTTCAAATATTTTTTTACTGTTGGACCCACCAGCCCACATTGCCCAATGGTTATAAGCCACGTGGCTTCTCCTGGAGCCTCCGATAAAAAAATCTTGCACAATCCAAAGGTTGTCCAATTTTTGGCTAAAAAAAATATCATAAATTTTTAAAAAAAATATCAAAAAATTCTGGAAATTTTTTATATACATACATACCAATATTATTCACTTTCCACACCAAATTTAATTTCAAAATTTTATCTGAAAATGTTATCTTGATTTTTAGGTGAGAATTTTATGATAAATATTAACACTTGGGAATCGAAAATTTTATCCAAAAAGCTTATCAAAATCAATGGTTTAAGTATAAAAAATAAAAAATAAATTTAAGTGAATAGTAATTGCATTAGCCTTAGCCTTTTGGAGTGGAACCACAAATGGCAAGGCTGCCACTATTCACATGAATAATGGCAACCCTTACCTTGCCCTTGCCTTAGCCTTAGCCCTTTAGGGGTAAAGATGCTCTAATAGGTTCCCATGCCACAAATCTCGCTCCAATGTATCAAACTCAAGACCTTTTCTTTTCATCAAATAATTATATTATGTATGTGTCTATGTAAGCAGACGCTCACCATCACATGATTAATTGCTTTGAGACCCAAAAGGATTATAACATAATATAAAAACCTTCAATATAACAAGACCTGTTACAATATAAGTGGACGATGTAGTTGATATTTTTTACTTTTAAAGTATACAATTAATAAATCACTATTTATATTATAACACGAGTAAATAGAATCTACCAGTACAATTCATGTAAGAAAGTAAATGAAATTTCCCCGAACAAGATATATATAAGTAAATACTATTTTCGAAGGCTAATGAAATTCAAACTAATTCGTGCAAGTGCATATTATATGCATCATCCCCCTCTCTCATGGAACAATGAATCTATTTTCATGACTCAAAATAACAATTCATGCAAGTATATATTATATAAGCCATATATAAATATAATTATTATAAAAGTGAATGCTGATGGTCCTTTTCTATGTAGTAAATATTATTATATATGAAAGAGAGGTTTTGTGTTCCCTAATAATTTTCTGTTTTCTGTTTCCTGAAATCAGAAATTGGAAATGGGAAAATCAATTTCTCTCCCTCGATAGCATAAACACACCACACCAAGCAGACGCACAACGCAAAGCCAGATGGCTCCTCCTTATAGTTCCTAACGCCTCTGCCCCTCAATACTCATCATGCATAATAAGCAAAGCCATTTCCCCATATAAACCCATCACCCTCCTCCCTCTCTCAACATTCTCACCAAACCAAACCTTTTTTTTAAGAACCCCTCTTCTTCTTCTTCTTCTTCTTCCCACATCTCTCTCTTTTCTAGAAACAAACACAAACATCTCTTTGTGCAGCAACATCCAGCTATGGTGGTTCTTTCTCAACCCGCTGCATTAGACCATTTATCTGATCTGATCAAAGCGTGCAAGCCCACCAGCTTGTTCACTGGAATTCCAGTCGTGGACCTCTCAGACCCTGAAGCAAAACACCACATAGTCAAGGCCTGTGAAGACTATGGCTTGTTCAAGCTGGTCAACCATGGAGTGCCATTGGACTTCATGACCACGCTTGAAGCCCAAGCTCTCAAATTCTTTGACTTACCCCAGTCAGAGAAAGAGAAGGCAGGCCCTGCCGATCCATTCGGCTACGGAAGCAAGAGAATTGGCCCAAACGGTGACGTGGGTTGGATTGAATACATCCTTCTCAACACCAATCCTGATATCATCTCCCCCAAGTCCCTCTCCATTTTCAAAGAAAACCCAGAAATTTTCCGGTAAAATTTTCTCAATAGGAAAACAGAGGACTCTGTTTTAATCCTCTGTTTTACAAAGAAACAAAACAAAGACGCATACAAAGTAATCTAACTTTTGTTCCATTGGTTTTGCTTTCATTTCGTGTTACAGTGATGCAGTGTTAGATTTTATCTGTGCGGTGAAGAAGATGACCTTTGAGGTATTGGAATTGATGGTTGATGGGCTGGGGATTGAGCCAAGGAATGTGCTGAGCAATCTTCTGAGAGAGGATAAGAGCGACTGTTGCTTCAGGCTAAACTACTATCCGCCATGCCCAGAGCTTCAGGCATTGAGTGGACGAAACTTGATTGGGTTTGGAGAGCACACAGACCCACAGATCATCTCTGTCCTGAGATCAAACAACACATCAGGCCTGCAAATCAGTCTCAAGGATGGGACTTGGGTTTCTGTCCCACCTGATCAGAACTCCTTTTTCATCAATGTTGGTGATTGTTTGCAGGTACCAATATAAATGGAATTATTGTTTTTTTCTTCACCTTTTGTTTTTATACATATTATTTGTTCTGCTTTGGTAATTATGGTCAAATCCTAACTTCTGGCAGCCAACTTGCATTTTGCCTCTTACTTTACTTCCTTCCAAAACACTCTCTCACAACATGCCACCAACAAAACATCACTTCCTCTTCTGTTCTTGCCCGCCATTTTCTTTTGGGGTAAATTTTTTGGACGTTTTGGAGTGATTCTAGATATGCCAAAATCACTTTAAGTAATTTTACAGAGAAACACATGGAAGGTGACGAGCCCTTTATGTACTGTTTTTTGTGTGGAAAATGTGAGTTCACTAATTTTGGAAGTGGCTTTGATGCAGGTGATGAGCAATGGGAGGTTCAAGAGCGTGAAGCATAGGGTTTTGGCAGACACTACAAGTTCAAGGATTTCAATGATCTTCTTTGGAGGGCCACCTTTGAGTGAAAAGATAGCACCTCTGCCGTCACTTATGGCAGAAGGAGAAGAAAGCTTGTACAAAGAGTTCACGTGGTGTGAATACAAAAAGTCCGCGTACAAGTCAAGGCTGGCTGATTATAGGCTAGGGCTGTTCGAGAAATCTGTGCCAATGATGTCAAATTCCCAATTTTAGGAAAAAAATGTTTTAGGTTTTGTTTAAAGCTCAGAATAGCTGTGAAAAAGTTGACTCTAGCTGCTCAGTTTGCCATAGAAGGCAAACAAATAGGTTGTTATCGATCATCTTCTTTCTTTTATTTTTCCTTCTGTCCCTTTTCTTTTGACTTGGTTCTTCTTTCTTTCTTTCTTTCTTTTGTTTCAATGTAACAAGAAGAACCACCTTCTGCCAATGCGAGTTTGTCATCTTCATGTCTTTATGTTGAAACCACTCTGTCAAGTTTCCTAAGATAAACTGAAATTGGTAGTGCTAAAACATGTACATGATAAAACCAACATGTCAACGGTGGCCTCATTAAAACCTTCTTGAGGAAAACCACGGGAAAAAATCCCAAGATAAAAAGAGTACCACACATGCTAAATGCTACATACTACGAAAGAGTCGATAATCAAAACATAAATCTGAACTCCATGATAGGAAAGAATATCATCATCTAACCAAAACAAAAAGCCCTCCTAGCGAAGATTGAATCATGCAATGCAATCCGCAAACTCCATTAGCAATACGGAGAACTTACGTGTATCAACTTTATCCATTAGTTATTGGGATAAAAATAAATATACCATCTGTAAAAATCGACCACATATAATATATATATATATGCACACATATATTTTCTAAGGTTATTTCAAAGTTCAACAATTGGAACCGTCTATATTTTAGGTAATCTTTACAAAAAATTATCTAAATTTAAAGTTATTTGGTCACTTTAATGTGAAAAAGAAATGCAATTCATTAGATAAAACTGAAACAATTATATGAATAATCAAAACAATTTCCGATTCAATTCATCTTTTGCATAAACAATCATGAAAAAAACCTAAAAATCAAACGATTCCGATTATTAAAATCATAGTTGAGAAACCGAACATCCTTTTATTATAATGATGAGATTCATTTGTATCGAAAGGTGGAAGTGGAACTACTCACAAGCCAAAACAAATGGCCAAGTTTAGGGGAGATATCCATAACTAACCCTGTGGTCCCTCCACCCATTGTGGTCTTACTTTTGGCCCTCCTTACATAATAAAATCATGGTCCTGCACCTGTTTATGCATGTGAATTCTATTCATATGGTCTCAAACTTATAATATATACCATCATATATGTACGAAAGTCAATAATGCACAGTAGGTTATGGTGGGGATTTGCAGTTGTTTTTTCTTTTGTTTTAGGTGAGTGAATGAACTAAAGCTTGGTGAACTGTGAACCTTTGAGGTAAGTGTTGAGAGAGAGAGAGAGAGAGAGAGAGAGAGAGGAAGGAAGTTGGGTCGGCAAGGAGGACATAAAGATATACTATTAACAAGGAGCTGCACGTGTGCAATATTCTTCAAATTTAAGCCTACAAATACTCTGTTGGAGGAACTTTAACCGAGGTCGTATGTCATTTTCTCAAACCAATTTTTAGGTTCATTAAATCAATTTTTGCCATTTAACGCACATATAATATTTCTACACATTATTTTTTATAAAATAAGAAATATTTAATTTCAAGACCTATTCACACATTAAATTTTTTATGCAAGTGGTGACTAGGATCTAGTCATTTGGAAGCAAAAGTAATGCTTTCCTATTTGTAAATTAGGTTTTTCATTTGTCCATAGTCTATGCCAATACTCGGAGCTCCGTTCCTTGCTGTGCCTGAGAGGCCACCCCAATCATTTGTTTAAGCAAATTAATTTATAGAAAGACTAATAAGAATCCATAAACATAAAGGGGTTCATAAACCAAGTTTCAAAGCTAATTAAAAACCAAGATTAGAGCACCTCCACCCTAAAAGGCAAGGGCAAGGCAAAGGTAATGTAAGGGCAGACACTATTCACGTAAATAGTGTCAACCTTGCCTTTTTTGGTTCCACCTCAAAGGGTTAGGGCAAGGGCAAACACTATTCCCTTTACTTTATTTTCAATTTTTTTAGTACTTAACTATTAATTTTGATAGCTTTTCAGATAATATTTTCGATTGCCACGTGTCACTATTTATTATAAAATTCTCACATAAAATTTCAGATAACATTTTTGGATTAAATTTTCGGTTGCCACGTGTCCATCAAATTTCAGAAAAAAATTTGGATGAGATTCTCGGTTGCCACGTGTCTTATTTCAGATAAGATTTTCAGATATTTATTAAAAAAAATTATAATGTCAAATCGCAGATAAGATTTTCACCTTCTAAAATTGCGCCACGTGTCCCATGTTAGATAAGATTTTCATATATTTATTAAAAAATTATAATCTCATATTTCAGATAAGATTTTCACCCTCTAAAATTGCGCCATGTGTCATCTTTATCTTCTAAATCCCTCTATATAACTACACCTTCAACTTTGTTTTTTAATACAAATGGAAAGTAGTAGAAAAATGTGAGTGGAAAGTAAAAAATATTGGAATGAGAAGAGTTTGTATGAACATTTGGGTGGAAAGTGAATAAAATTGTCAGGTATTTATAAAGAAAAAATCCAAAATTTTTTGGTATTTAAAAAAAAAAATCCAAATTTTTTCGAATTTCCGTAGGATTTCTTGAAAAAAAACCATCGTAGCGTCCGAGAAGCACCACGTGGCATTTTCCCGTTGGGTTCTATTAGGGCTGACGTCAGCGAGCGAAAGTCAAATATTTTTACCGTTGACGCGTGAAACTCAAGCACCAATGGTAAAAAAAAAATATTTGAATTCCGCTCACTGACGTCAGCGCAACGTCACCACTGACATCAATGCCTTCGGGCTTGAGCCTAGGCAAGATTTGCCGGTGGGCTTGCCCGGGTTAGTGGGACCCAGGGCTTGCCCGTGCTGTCTGTTGTGTGCTGGAGGTCCAAACCTTGCTACGGGGGAGGGGGGCCCTGTTGTCCTAGCAGATAGATTGCGTTGGAGGTACCCTTAGAGAGAAGTAGTGGTCACTCACTGCTTGTCGTTGTCTCATCATGCATTGAGAGCCCATCCATAACTTATCAACATGATATTGACATTTTTATTTGATCGCTTGATGCGATGCATACTGTGCCTAAAACAGTGTGTAACTATTTGTTGAGAGATCTACATGTTCCACGATTTGGGGCAAACGTGAGTAGGTTTGGCCTCAAACTAAAACCCCATATACTTATGCTAAGGCTGTTTTTTTTTTCGACTGGCCTTTAGAGCTTAGAGTTTGTTACTACAACATGCATATTATTTTATTAGATTTGTTTGTTTTTTTGAAAATTGGTAACATGCGATAGAGAATAGAAAAGACGTGAGTTAATAGTAAATGTGAGAATAAGTTATCTACCACTAAAGCTGTAAGCCTCGGAAAAAATTAATATGTCAAACTATTTGAATGGATCATATCACGTACACTTGGACTGATTAGTCGTTCACGCTTGAGTTTGACAGTGGGAGATCAGACTAACTTTTTCTTTTAACATGAAAAAGTAGAAAAAGAAACTTAGTGCTCTTTTGTTTCCATTTATAGGAAAAAGGAGAGGCACGCCCCATAAAAGGATAATAGCAATGATTCAAACATAAATTCATGGGTTTTGGAGTCCCCACTTCCCATGCAAATAAGAAGATTCTCTAAGGAAGTGGTCTACACAGTTCTGCGGATATATACAGAGCCTTGTCACTCTCAGAGTCTCACTCTCATCTCAGCTACAAAACCCTACAAATTAACCAAGGTGATGACAAGGCCCCAAGGCCATGAAGCAATACAATTCCTAGCTTCTGCGCATCTCATTATACATCACTATCGAACCCTTTTTTTTCTCTCAGAATGCCATTTCAATCATTTCGAGTTCTCAACCAAAATGTGCCCGAAGCCGAAGCCGAAGCCAATGGGTTGCTCAAGTGTTAGCTAGTGATTTGGGCACTTCCATTTCTCATTATTAATTTGTCATCTTCGGGTAGATATTTCTTGGTTCCAAAGCAACATTTTCATGATATTTCAAATACGTGCAATCATCCACAAACAAAGTATGAATTAACCATGCTTGCTTTTGTTCAATAATTGGTTAGCTTGTATAACAAGTCAACATCCACCACAAATAAAAGCATATGCACTAGTACTATAAAGAAGCTTCGTACCATATGAAGTGAAAGAAAAAGACTGAAAAAGCTAGCTTATCCCCGAACATAAAAAAGTTGGGTTAGACAAATATCAGAAAGAAAATATCTCTCACGGGGAGAAATTCAAGATTCAAGACATGATCAAAATAGGATGCTCCTCACACCGAATAAGACCCACCATTACTCTATCCATTGGCGTCTTATCACCGATGACAACATGCAGCATTACCTACTTGACCCAGGGAAAAAAAAATTAATTGAAGAAAAGCTTTTAAAATCTTTGAAATGACCTTTCGACTTGTTTGGTCGACACTTTGTCAGTTATAATATAACTGTGTACACTGCATATTTAATTAGTGTGATTAGCAAATGTGAGATTGATCATGGTTACTAAAAACATATTAATAAGAAATTATGGCATCAATCTTAGCTCACAACCCTGTAACCATTGACTTAAGGGATACAATTTGGTTTTGTTTCATGTCACAATGCCGTCATTTCTGTAATAATTTTATCCATCCATCGACATATACTTATTTTCTGTTTCTGCCGTTACAATATTATAAAATACACCGTATACATACAGTTACGTATGTAATGTGTATGTATATTGCCTAATATACACAGGATATTTGGAGTGCAGATGTGATCACAACAATCCACTGCTGTAATGGCAAATTAAAACAAAAATAAATAAAAATATCTGGCGACGTATGCAAGGTCTGAAAAATTATTTAGACAAGACTTTTGATGGGTCAAGAAAACTTTGATGGTATTCTATATCGATATATGTGTGATCTTGTAAACTCCACGCATTATCTAGTGATGATTCAGCTTTGAGGGGACATTGAGTACCAAAAGTAGAATAGTTTTTTGTTGCCAAAATTAGACAACCCTTTAAATTTGTATGCTTTTTTCATCAATAATGCGTCAAAAGTTGGATATTCCTTGCAGGTACATATAAACCCTAGCTTCTGAATACACCTTTAATATTAATTAATTACTGTTTGCTAAACTTAATCATTAACAATAATGATCTCTCCTTTCTCATAAAAGCTCGTATGAGGCAAAATTATCATGTGTGACATGGCAGGAATAGTAAAATAGTGATATTTTCGTTTCATATAAGTATTTCTCCTCCTTCTAAATACAGCTTTGATTAATTAATTACTGTTTACGAAACTTAATCATTAACAATAATGATCTCTCCTTTCTAACAACTACACATTTTTCTGGTAGGGTTATATGCTTTATATCATGTTCATATCAACATGTCTGTCTCTGTTTGAATATTTTTTCTTCTTCTGTTTTAGTGCAAAATTACAGTGACAAACCTAACAGCACCCCACTGCAAAACCATCAAACGGAACTTTATTATTTGCAACAGTCAGTTGGATCCTGGAGAGTTGTGCTCCAAGTCTGATATCTCCTTCAAAATGATGACCAAGATGTACATGAATATCTGCCACAAATAGTGCCTCCTGTGTTTAAGTTTGTTTGGTTGCATAGAGATTGATAATGTGAAAAAGAATTCAAGATATTTATGTAAAGAAAAATTTCCTGATGCGGTAAAAAAGAAGAATGTGATCACCACGCGACTAGTACAAAAATTGAAGGTACTTGAAACATTAAAATAAGAGTGCACTTTGTGATATAATATCTATCTGTCACTGCTATATCTCTGTGTCTCTCTTGGCACTCCGGAGGCCACACCTTTGCCTGAGAAAATAATACCTTCATTGACGCAGGAACGAAGCAATTGTAAAAGAAATTGCATGGAAAGGAATGAAAACTATATATATCTGTCAAGAAACAAATCGCCACGATGACCTATAAGCTTGAATGAAATCAGGTTTTGCTAAGATTTGAGGGTTTCTTGCTTCTGAGAGGGCTAATTTGTAACGACGATTATCCAGGATAGTGTTATCTTGTCAGACATGCATATATAAAAAAGTACTTATGTCACATACAAATCTAAATCATATATTATGGACAAAATCAACTTGAGCCGACAGGTAATTTGGTAAAAGAGCATTCAGATATTTATTTATAGTGTGAGATTCTATATCTATAAGAGGGTTTATTTTTTCTTTTATGGAACGAACGTGTCGATTGACAGCTATTTCTTTCTTGCGAGAGTGGAGAAATAGTAACTCCCAATGGGACGCAATTCCCTAGGCCAACGAAAGCGGGCTCACATCACACACACATATACACATACCTTTAAGGATCAAAAAGTAACTCTATACACACATATACATCATGAGTAAGGAAGGAGTTTATGTTGGAGAATAATGCAAGCCCCACATAGAAATGTCATTTTCTTCTACCGACACAATGACCACAACTGATAGATACCCCATGTTATGCACACACAACGCAGGACTTGGAGCTTCCAAAACAGATACATCGTATTGGCTTCAGCAGGTTGCCATTTGGTGCTTAGGAGCTTTGCACCATTTTTTGAGTTGGTTCTTACGCAATACATTGCGCAATGCTTTGGCTTCTTTATAAACTACTTTAATGGACGGTGCTTATTTTCGTAGGCATGCAAAATTTTTGCGCCCAAGCTTCTGTCGACCAAAATTAAAAATCAGGTACAAATAGCTTCTTCGCATTAAGGTTTTCTAGAAGTAGATTTTTGTTAGAAAGTGCTTTTTTCAAACTTTAAAGACTCGTTTGGGAGAGTAATTATAGACGTTTTCTAGATGTTTCTACCCAAAAGTGATTATAGCTTATTCAAAATCACTTCCAAAAAAACCATAAGACTTTATTCAACTTATTGACTTTCTTCGCTGGGGTAGGTTACTTGGCATTCGTCCATCTTTTCTGTCCATTTCTATGAATTTTAAGTTTATGGTGAACTTAATAATCAGCAGTGGGAAAAAAAAAATGATAAGTTTAGATTGGCCACTTTTGTTTTATATTGGGTGTCACTCAATTAAATTTGGTTGTTTCTTTTGGTTCCCCAAGTTCATTGAACACGCATACAATCTTTCTAACTAATTTCTTTGTAAAAATAATTAATTTTTAATGCACATGGGGTGGCAAGCACCACAGTGGGAAAGTTGGCCAAACTCTCCCCCTTCCCCTCCACAAGTGTGCACCCGAACTCAATTTACGTAGGAGATAATCTTGAGGCAACCCAACATAATATTCCCTCCTCACCCTCCCTAGCAAATGACCAAAAAACAAAAAACAAAAAAAAAAACTTTGTAATGTCCTTGTAAAAATAATTAACTTTCTAGATTTCTACCACTAAAATACTTGTTTCATTCAAGTGACAGCCCATTGAAGATATAAATTATTTTTTTCTGGTCAATTAGTGATATTGTGATTATAATTTAAATTACTTCTAGGTGGTTTTATTGAGTTTCCTTCTTCTTCTTTTTGGGTCTTGTGGGATGGGCTTATTTTGTCTTGGGTCAGGAATCTGCTTGTAGTTGGGCTATGTTGTGGCTCAATAAGAAATATATAGAATGGTCGTCAATTATTTTCTTGCTCGGCCGGGCCCCAAAATAATTTTCCAATTATAACTATTTTAATTTTTTTTGGAGAAGTTTTTCGATTTAATAATAAAATACAGAAATTACACGTGCTTCTTGTTCAGTCTACATATTTCTATGAGCTCATTGACAGCAAACAAGAGCGCTCAGAGAGAGAGAGAGAGGGGAATCTAACCAATCTCTCCTTTTCTCTTCTCTTTTCAACTTTTTATTCTTCTCTGCTCCAGATTTGTTTGAGCAATGGCCGAGGAGCCTGCACCCACTCGCTGGTCCTTCCAGGTATTCATTACTTCTCTATCATTTTCTGTTTGATTTCTGAGAAAATGTTGTTGCTTGACGGAAACTATGAGTAGAGTAGCTGTAAGCTTTTTCTGAGCTTGAACTTGAAACTGAAGGAACCCAATTTCTATATTTGGTTTTGTTTTGGGTTGCTTCTGTTTGCTCAGCTACCAAACACAAACCTAGTGTTCTTGAATATGTACTTTTACTCTTACGGTTACTTATATGCTAGAATTCAAGTATATTTGGTTTAAATTTTGCTTGTTGAGGTTATTTAGTAGTTGCGATTCTTGATCTGATGGATAGGATTGAATCAAGAATTCGTGGGTTTATCTCAGCCAAAATTATGTGTATTTCTAGGATTTTAAATTGTTTTATGATGCCAAGTTTGGTAGAAAGAAAGTGGCGGAGCCGCAAAACGGGCAGTCTACTGATAAAGCCGTGAGTAATGGGAGTAGTTCGGGGGTGACTGCGAACGGGAATGGTCATGTTAAAAACACAGCTGACTTGGCCATCTATGAGCAATTTCAAAACCAGGTAGCTATTGCATTGTGTCTTATCATGTGCTCAATTGGTGTTGACATCATTGCATGGATTTTGTATAGTCAGATTGATTCGTACTTCGGTTTTGTCTGTTTGTTAGGATAGGAGCTCAGCACCTCACTCGAATGGAGTCTTATCTGATAGGCATGATCAGACACCGTATGGCTTCTCACTGTTTCTCATATTAATTTTATTGTATTATTTTTTATTACCTTTTGGCTGCATGAGTTCTAGTTAAGAAATCTTAGAGTGAGTAACTAAACATAGTCTCATATCTACTCGAGAGACTAAAAACAGTTGGTACAAATAATATTTAGCAAAGTTCTACTAACTAGGTACTTAGAGACTATAATGTGGGTGGGAGTACATTAGTTTGTCAGGCGTTGAAGTCTGCTTTATGTGTTACTGCATTACTATGTGGTGCCTAAATGTGTCCTTAATGCATCGTTAATTTAATATTCATGGTATCGCTTAAGTATGTGAAAGCATTAATACAAAAGATGAGCCTGATGTAGCCAAGTTCCCCATATTCTATTTTAAGGGGCTAAGTGTGACTAAACTTCATCCTTTAATATTTTCACATTTGTCATGTTATTGGCTATTTATTCCTGTAAGATATTCACTTAAGGAAAGATGCACAAGGTAAAATGCTTATTCAGGGTCTGACAAAGTAAGAGATCTGATTTTAGCATGGACAACTTATAAGGCTTCCAATATGCTTAGAAGTACAATTCAAGTGTTGGACTTAAGAAGTTTCTGATGATAACAATTGAATTTATTTAGACTATTGGACGAATTCTTTCAAGGGCTGTATACTGAACTGATTACTAAGTACTTATGTTACTTCCCATCTTATTTACCTCTTGATGGAAAAATGTTTTTGGATGCCTACTTCTTTAAGAACCTACTGACATGTTTTATGAACTCCACAGGCAGAAGTCTCTGTTGCCGGCTTTTGAATCGGCAGAAGTGCGTTCGTTAGCAGAGAGTTTAGCCAGGTATTTTTAACATAAAAGACTTCACACAATGGAATACATGTAACTGTTATTGCATACATTTTGTCCGGTGGCCAAGGATAATTTCAGTTGCACCCTGAAAACTTCGTCACTTTTATTACCATGTATCACATCTTGTGCAGGGATATAGTTCGTGGTAATCCAGATGTTAAGTGGGAAAGCATCAAGGGCTTAGAGAATGCGAAACGTTTGCTTAAAGAAGCAGTGGTCATGCCAATTAAATATCCCAAGTAGGTCCAGTTAATGAGCACCTCATGTGCCACAATTTTGTACTCCACATTTATACATGCTTGTTCTTACATTTGTCTTGTCTCCCTGTATTTTCCGTATTGAAAAAGTTTAACAAACTACTTGTGGAATTATAAATCGAGAAAGTGTTGTTGCTTGGTTTCTCTATTCTAGAACTTGAGATCTTTGGAAATAATTTCTTGGGTTTCTTCATGTTGATCCATATATGCAAGAGTTTTTTCATACTGTTTCTGGCAGCTACTTTACAAGTTTTGATAAATTTTAGGGCAAGCAGATTGAATTGCTAAATGGTTAAGCTTTTAAAATGATGAAATATCATTCCCAGACCTGATCTTTCCTTTTCCCCCTAGGTACTTTACTGGTCTTTTGTCACCGTGGAAAGGTATTCTCCTCTTTGGCCCTCCAGGGACAGGAAAGGTTCGTAATTTTTCACCTCCTGTTGTTTGTTTATCTTCGCTTTTCTATATTTCCCTGCTTTGGTTATGGTTGGTTTTCCATTTCCGTGCCCCAGAAAGGTTTGGGGTTTTAGGTAGTTGATATTTTATTTATTAAAATCTGATTTCCTGCAACTTGGAGTTCTTAGCTTGTCTAGAAACATTACATGCTAAATTGCTCTTCCATGCAATGATGTTCTTGTGTCAAATTTACTTAGAAAGGAAGATGAATTCCCAGAATCCTGTATAACTTCAATTATGTTTTACAATGATGCTTTGGAAATAAAGTAAGTTAACATCTGATGTTGCAGACAATGCTTGCAAAGGCCGTTGCAACAGAGTGCAAGACCACATTTTTCAACATTTCAGCCTCATCTGTTGTCAGTAAATGGCGTGGTATGTCGGAGTTGAGCAATTTTCTGAAGATCTTGTTTGTCTGTTTGTTTGTCATAAAATGGTTACTCAATGGGGAAAGTTTAGTGGGGTCCAAATTTGCCACCTTGTTGGAAACTCAGATGAAACTTAATAATAATGACCTAATTGTGCACCGTAAATTTATCTTCTTCTTCATATCCGTTCTTCATTATTTTAATTAAAACAACTACTGGTACCTGAGTTGAAACTTTTTTTTATTAGGAGAGTTTTATTTTCTTTTAGTAAATTTATGTTGGCTATTTCAATTTTAATGTTTGTATGACTTTTCAGGCGACTCAGAGAAGTTAGTGAAGGTGTTATTTGAGCTTGCTAGGCACCATGCACCATCAACCATATTTATTGATGAAATTGATGCAATTATTAGTCAACGTGGTGAAGGACGAAGTGAGCATGAAGCAAGTAGGCGTTTGAAGACGGAACTACTCATACAGGTGATGTTTGTTTTCTATGAGTGCTACTTTCTGTATTTTCTTGCTCATCATATGTTCCGATCATCAAAACCTCTATTGCATATTCCAATTCTGAACATGTCAACTGTGCTTGTTCAAAAATTGATGACTTGTATTAGATTGCAGATGGATGGCTTGACACGGACAAGTGAACTTGTTTTTGTTTTGGCTGCAACAAACCTTCCTTGGGAACTGGATGCAGCCATGCTTCGGCGTCTGGAGAAGCGAGTATCCTTTTGAAAAGTGAAATTTATGCTCAGTGATATGTGATAATAAAACAATTATATCTGTCAATTGGAATTTACCCTAATCGAATGCTTTTGGCATGGATTCTAAATCAACTATATGGAAGCCTTGGAAGTCGTAATTGCTGGCATATTATATAAACAAGTTGTGGCTACTTCAAAGGCCTTTATGCTTGTGAATGGATTACGATTACAATCTAATCTGTTACTTGATTGAGAAACATAGTTTGCAATCGTTAACAGAGCACTAGTTAGTTGAGTGCAGTGCTTATGGTTATAGTTTTGCAAACAGATTGCTATTGTTCGGTGTTTTGCATAGGATGCCAGGATACTCGTGATGTCTAAATAGATGTAGGATCATTATGTGGTTAGTTAGAAAACTTGATGTTGGCCCTAGAACAAGGAAAGGTTAAACTACTCTCATCCGTTGGGCCTTGTTTATCTTCTAGCTAGGTATCAAAATATGAGGCAGCTTTTTACATGATCAAGTGTATTTTGCATTCAGTCTTTTTATTTATCAGGTTTTCCATTGACCATGAAAAATTAGATTCTTGTGCCTCTGCCTGAACCAGAAGCAAGAAGATCCATGTTTGAGGAGCTCCTGCCACTGGAGCCTGATGAAGAGAAGCTTCCTTATGATTTGTTGGTTGAAAGGACAGAAGGATATTCAGGTTCAGATATTCGATTGGTATGCAAGGAGGCTGCCATGCAGCCTTTGAGACGGTTAATGTCATTCCTTGAAGACAGAGAGGAAATAGTTCCCGAGGATGGTATGTGACTCCTAATTATATGTTTCTTATAACATAAGATGGGAGAAGACTTTTACAATATTAAATTTTACTGTATCTAAAATGTTACAAGGTGAGAAACATATAGGTTCATCTAGGGCTCTGAGGCTTTGCTTAGGTGGTAAATACACGAGCGAGATAACCTCCATCTTGTGTCGGGGGCTTAGCAAGGATATCCATCCCATTCTATTATTCAATCAACTCAGTTGTTACTCCCAGTGTTCAACAAAAATTGCATGCATATAAGTTGATATGAATTCTAATATTCGTCTCTTAAATCCTGCAATTTGTGCAAAGGGGCCTTTGCTTAGAATATAAGAGGACATACTCAGTAAGAGCTTATTCCAGGATGTTTTTTATTGCAGAACTGCCTAAGGTTGGACCAATCAAACACGAAGATATTGAGGCAGCTTTGAAGAACACAAGGCCATCTGCTCATCTCCAAGCTCATCGTTACGAGAAGTTCAATGCGGATTACGGTAGTCAAATACTCCAATGACGGCACATAACCTGTCTTGTCTTGTATGGTTAGATTTCTTAGTTCTGGACGTCGCTTAGATTACCATTGCCTATTGGACATCCAAGGGTTGTTCTGAGAAGTGTAATTTGCGTGAAACCGAATAAAAAGTTGGCTGTTTTCAGATGAAAATAGGTTGATTTGTTTTGATTTAAACGATTCAGATTTGATGTATGAAGAGCACAGGTTAGCCAGGACTGGCTTTATCTTTGTCTCTCGTTTGTGTTCCCTCAAATTTAATTTATTTATTTAGTTGATTTCATTTCAATGAAATTAACAAACACAATTTCAATAATGACAACTGGTAAACTGATAAATATTATATATTCTTATTTTGTATTTTTAAGGTAATAATTCCACGTTATTCAGCTCTTCCTCATTTGCAATTGCACCAATTATTAGTATTGAACCAACAAGTCCAGTGCAGAATTCAATTGCTTGAGAGAGGCGTCTTGAACGAGGAGATGATGCAACAACAACACTAAACGACGTCGTCTTTGTGCTTATTGAGTTCAATTGAGAGAGGTTTTAAACGAGATGATGCAATCATATAAAAATAATAAACGTCGTCGTCTTGGGCTTTCAATAAGCGATCCATAAAAATATAAGAAGAAAGAAAGAAAAGAATCACTATAAAGTAAAAACCTTTCAGAACCCTACTCCCCTCCTCGACGCAGCCGCCATTACCATCTCCTCTTTCCCTCTCACTCTTCCATTGAAGAAGGCCGTGACTGTGAGACTCTCTCTACCAAAGGTGAATGCTCACTCTTCTCTAAATACTCAATCTTCAAAAGTCTTATTTCCTATCTCTGTTTGCATTTTCAACGATTTATTCTCTGCGACTTTCAATCTCTGTTTGCGTTTTTGGCTGGATGATTTACTCAACACAACCTATTATATGTTGTTTTTAGACCTTAAATATAAGATAAGAAAAGGGTTCTGATCGCTTTCATGGCTAAATGGGTCAGAGAGATTTATGAAGAACGAAAAAAAAAAGTTGTAACTTTTGGTTTTGTTTGTGAGACTTCCTATCAAATATTGAGACTTTGGAAATGTTGGTTAGTAGCAGTGCGCTGTTTGCTCTTTTTTTCTGGAAAATAACATGAAATTGTGATACCCAATTGAGTTCTTTGCTCTGTTTTTTGTATTTTGTAACTTGTGTTCCATTTATAATCGTAATGCTTGATGAAATTGTCTGGTCTCTTGATTCCCAAGTCCGGCATGGCTTGACGTTGTTGCTTTCCATTTTACCATCTTCGTGCCGGCCTGCGGGTACTAGTAGGGTGTTCTCTATCTAATTTTACTTTCACTTTTGCTTGAAGAATGGACTCCACTGTGAAGCATGCTGTGGTTGTGAAAGTTATGGGTCGGACTGGATCTCGTGGGCAGGTGACTCAAGTAAGAGTCAAGTTTTTGGATGACCAGAATCGGTTCATCATGAGGAACGTGAAGGGACCAGTGAGGGAGGGGGATATCCTTACCTTGCTCGAGTCTGAGAGGGAAGCTAGAAGGTTGCGTTGATCGGAGATGCTCTCGTTTGTTGATGCTTGAACTTCAAAGTTTTGGTTACTTGCAAGCAACTGTTAATTACTTTTCAAGTTTATCAGTAGCATCGTAGACTTGATTGTTGTGATGAGATTTCTTTGTGGAATCTTTCGGAACTTCTATGTAGGTTTTGTTTGAACAAGTAACAAATATTCCTGCTTGCCGTGTCAAACCTTTGCTCTCCTTCTTGCCTGAGCTCTTGGGTATTGAGCAACAAAGACTGTTGTCTCAATGTGCAAAATTGGTGCATAAATATGGCCTTATTGCTGCTACATCAAAGTTGAAATTTAGTACTTAATAAATCCTTAACCAAATCTTGTTGATGTAAAGGAGCGGTGATGATCACATCTTTTTGTCCTGATGATCACATCTTTATTGGCCGAAATTTTGATAGAACTCATATATAAAGATGTACCATAAACGCAATAACTAGTTTTGGGATAATGGCCGGGAAGCACTCAGAAAGTACACAACACTTACTTTGACCCATCCTTGGGTATGGATATGGAACAAGGACTTTGGCCCTTGTTTGCATTCTCATCTAGCTTATGTATCAAAGCATGAGGCAGTTTTTTACAAGATCAAGTATATTGAGCGGCTTGTAGCTCGAGTCCTAGGGTTTAGGTCAATTCATGATAGTCGTACCAAACGACCCTTCACTTGCTGCTTAAAATGCAAAATTTACACAACAATAATTAACATATAAATTAAAATATATTATGCGAAGGAGACTGGACTGACCATCCCTATCGAAATGACGGAATATATTGAGACATAAATTTCTGAAGACTTAGACATGCCCAATGAATTGTCCATTATATTTTTCTTTTCTTACAAGTCTAAGTTGTTGCGTAGACGACTCGGAGTCGTGCGGATGAGACAAGGATGCAGTTGCATTGGTCAATTGTGAATTTCGTCGTGTCTGATGTGCCGCACTTTTTCACAACTTGTTCTGCCTTCATAAATTAAATTGGCCCTGCAACAAATTATTCAGTGCGTAAAAGCAAAAACACTTCGATGAAGTTCGAAGGAACTCATCTGTTTTCGGTGCTCATCTCATGGAGAAGTCTAAGTCGTTTCCTCTTGTCAATGACGTTGTTGCTGGTGCTGCCGCGGTACACTTGTGTAGGTGCAGCAGCACAAACCAACATCACCACGGACCAGTATGCTCTTCTTGCTCTGAAATCCCATATCCGTAGTGACCCAGACAACATCTTGGCCAACTGGTCAACCATCACCCCAGTTTGTAATTGGGTTGGCATTACTTGTGGTGCTCGCCACTCGAGAGTTTCAGTCTTAAACCTCTCTTATATGAGACTCACTGGCATCATTCCACCTCACCTCGGCAACCTCTCATTTCTTATTAGGCTGCTTTCCATAAACAACAGTTTCCATGGCCCCTTGCCCCATGAATTGTCTTATTTACATCGCCTCAAGTTTTTTAGCTTCGCATTCAACAATTTGGTGGGATCCATTCCATTGTGGTTTGGGTCCTTCCCTAAACTTCTCAGCTTCAATTTGAGTGGCAATCAATTTTCAGGTTCTATACCCACGACCATCTTCAACTTATCTACGTTGCAAGTGATTGATCTAGACAACAACCAACTATCAGGTACGCATGCATATGTATCAACAACCTATCTACGAATCTACTGTTGATATGATTACGTTTTAGCATATTTCTATTAATTTATAATTGTTTCTTCTTTTTTCAATAGAAACTTAAGCTTGTCCTATTAAACTTGATTTTCTTACTTACAGCCCATCATATAGCAAAAAACTACATTGTTGAAATGAAACTAGAGACAAAATTTGGGCTATAAATAATAAAAACTCGTTGAGTGTGGGATATGGACATAGATTGTAAATAATGAGTAATACATGGCCAACAATTAATCCTACATGGATGACTTGTTTTTTTGTTTTTTTTTTTTTTTTTGGGCTGCAGTTGTAGTAAGTACATGAATTTGTGTCTACACTATTTGATTTGCAATAAACTAGTTTAGATTATATTTAAATGTTTTCTGAGACTTTGGCATGCATAACAGGAGAGATACCAAGTAAAATTGGGAACTTAACAAGGCTGAAGAAGATATACCTGAGCTACAACAAATTCACCGGTATATTGTTGCATTTCATTGTATGCATAAAATTAAATAGCCTAATTATATAGTTTGATATATATACATGTGTGTGTGTGTGTATATCTTGTTGATTTTTCAGAAATTCCAAACGAGATCGGCTTTTTAGATCAGGTGGAGCATTTGTTCATTCAGGTGAATGCCCTAAAAGGTCATGTTCCTGCCAGTGTCTTCAACATGTCCTCTTTGACTTTTTTGACTCTATATGGAAACAGTTTGAGTGGCGGTCTTCCGGACAATATATGCCAGCATCTTCCTAGTCTTCAGTATGCTAATTTTTGGCCGCAACCAGTTTGATGGTCCACTTCCAACCAAATTGTGGCATTGCAAACATCTTCTTTCATTAACATTGTCTGAAAACAATTTCAGTGGAAGCATACCCAAATATATTGGCAACTTAACCCAATTAACAACGATTTTTCTTAACAGCAACAATTTGACAGGTAATTGATACTTCATTATGTTGTTCCAACTATATCTTTTTGTTTGGCATCATTTATCATTATTTAACTATTTTGTACAAGGTCAACAGACAAAAAAGAGAACGAAAACCCCTTCAGCCCTGTTCACTTCTCTTGGGCTACAAATTGTATAGAATAAAATAGATTGAATTGCCTAACAAACGTTAACATTGTATAAAAGTCAATATTGTTTTCACCTAAACTAATGTTGTGAAATTGTGGCAGGCACTATACCAAACGAGATCGGTGATCTTCAGAATTTAGAGCTTATAGCCATCCAAATTAACCATCTAAATGGCCTCATCCCAGCCTCAATCTTCAATATCTCCACGATAACAGCCCTTGCACTTGGTTTCAATATGCTATCAGGTAGCCTCCCAGCAAACATAGGCCTTGGGGCTCCAAACCTACAACACCTTTATCTAGGAGGAGGTGACCTCAGTGGAGTAATCCCCAACCTCTCCAATGCTTCTATGCTCACGAAGCTAGATTTGACCGAAAACTCATTTACAGGGTTTATTCCAAGCACGCTCTGTGCCTTGACAAACCTTCAGACAATTAGGTTATCATTGAATAATTTGGCGATTGATACTTCGACTCCAGAAGCAACCACTCTCTCTTGTTTGGCTAATCTCCCAAATTTGACAACACTACAATTGTCATATAATCCTTTAAATGTCACACTTGATGATTCCTCTCGGAATTGCTCTACATTGTCGCGGCTTCAATATATTTTTTTATCCAACTGCAGCATAAGGGGTAACATTCCCATTGGTATTAGCAACATTAGCAGCTTGGTAACTTTATCCCTGGATGGCAATCAATTGAGTGGATCAATTCCAACTTCACTGGGAAGACTAGGGAATCTCCAAGGTTTGTACTTGAATTACAACAAATTGCAAGGGTACATCCCATATGAACTTTGTCAACTAGATAAGCTAGTTGAATTGCTTTTGGGTAGTAATCAGCTCTCTGGTTCTATACCTTCCTGTTTGGGTGATTTAGCCGCATCTCTAAGAACTCTATCACTAGAGTCCAATTCGTTGAGTTCCACAATACCATCAAATTTTTGGAATCTTGTTGATATCTTGCATGTCAACTTGTCATCCAATTCTCTAATTGGATCTCTCTCACAAGATATTGGAAACTTGAAAGTTGTGGTAGATGTAGATTTATCAAATAACCATTTATTTGGTATTCTACCAAGCACCATTGGGGGTCTTCGCGATTTGGTTACACTCTCTTTGGCAAATAATGATTTGGAAGGCTCTATTCCAAGTTCATTTCATGACTTGCTCAGCCTACAATTCTTGAATTTATCCAAAAACAATCTGTCTGGAGAGATCCCCAAGTCTTTAGAAGCCCTTTTAGTTCTCAAGTATCTGGATTTGTCTTTCAACAGGCTCCAAGGACAAATTCCAACTGGTGGACCGTTTCAAAACTTCTCTGCTCAATCATTTGTCTCAAACAGTGCATTATGTGGTGCACCCCGACTTCATGTTCCACCATGCAAAAAAGGTACACTCGAACCAAATTGGAGGAAAGCTAAATATATCGTCCCAGGGATAATATCAGTAATTCTCCTAGTGGCCTCCATATCTATCTTTCTAGGAAAAGGAATGTGGAAGTTACAATAGAGGCTAGCTCATTGCTTCAACCTCTTTGGAGAAGAGTTTCACACCTAGAACTTCAAAGGGTAACAAATGGATTTCACGAAAGCAACTTACTTGGAAGTGGAAGTTTTGGATCAGTATATAAAGGGACACTTTCATATGGAATAGATGTTGCAATAAAGGTTTTCAGTTTACAGCTAGAAGGGGCATTCAAGAGTTTTGATAGGGAATGTGAAATCCTAAGCAATATTCGTCATCGAAACCTTATCAAAATCATCAGTTGTTGCAGTGAAATTGATTTCAAAGCCCTGGTACTGCAATACATGCCAAATGGGAGCCTCGAGAATTGGTTGTACTCTCGAGACTATTCTTTGAATATCTTACAGAGGATGAACATAATGATAGACGTTGCGTCGGGATTGGAATACCTACACCATGGTTATTCAATACCTATAGTCCATTGTGATTTGAAGCCGAGCAATATACTACTAGATGATGATATGGTTGCACATGTTGCTGATTTTGGAATTGCAAAACTCTTGGATGGAGGAGATTCTATGACCCAAACCATGACCCTAGCCACAGTTGGGTATATGGCTCCAGGTGATGTAGTTGCTAGTCTTTTAATCCTATACACGTTGTCCTTAATTATGAAGAACTTAACTTTATAATTTTCTTTTCATTATACATATGTATACAACTCACACACATATACAAGAACAACTCAAATATAGTTCATATTGCAGAGTGTGGAATTGAAGGAATAGTTTCAAGAAGAGGGGATGTGTACAGTTTTGGAATTCTAGTGCTGGAAACATTCACAATAAGGAAGCCAACAGATGAGATGTTTGATGAGGAAATGAATATAAAGCAATGGGTTGCAAACTCACTACTACTACCAGATGCAAAGATAGATGAAGTTGTGGATGCCAATTTGCTTGGGATTGGGACAGAGCAGGAAGATGATGATCATGTGAGAAAGAGGAATTGCTTATCATCCATTATGCGATTAGCTCTTGCTTGCTGTGCAGAATCACCAGAAGAGAGGATAAGTATGAAAGAATCTGTAGCCACACTCAATAAAATCAAGATGAAGTTTTCCAAGGACGCCGCAAAAGGTGTGGTGTTAAACCGTCCTCTTGCTCAGCGGTTCATTTAATGGATCCTATGACAATGACATATATTTCTTTCATGCACTTTGGTTGGATTCGGTTCAATTTGAGTCTTAATTCATGTGGTTGTATAATTGTATTTGAATTTTAAAGACAATAATATATAGATGGAACAAGTCATCGTAAAGAAATTCAAAGCTTCTTACATACTTGGTATGGCAGGGTCTGTTTTGTTGTATTATGATATTCACACCACACGAGATGTATTTTGATATCCACTACAAATATGATAATCCAATACCAAATACAACAACAAATGATGGATTAGAGAGGCTACTACGCGAAACAGAAAGCGTTCCCGCCTACCATCTAAGACTTTAGAAAAGCTATGCAATAGACTTCGATGAAAGTACAAAGAACCATCCAGCCGCAAAAGGACTTCCTAGTCCATAAGCATGCCAGAAGCACAAAAATTACTCAAAACAACAATGTTCTAGCCCCAGATTGATTGAACCGCTTCAATGATGAATCAGCCGTTTCTCCCGAATTTTGCATCAGTCTATGCTTTGGCAATTGTTGTTTTCATGTCAGCATCCCCTTCGTTGTACATATTCTGCAAGTTGCATTGAATACAACAGTAATTAAGCAAGCAAATATATGTTTATTCAATGTGACTGCATTCACATTTTCAAATGTGGATGTGCATGCATATACATGTCAACCTCAAAGCTTGGTAACCTTACCTTCATCAAGTCCATGATTCCTGCCATGGGATCTCTCTCTTCATCCATATTTGCCTGCAATATCAAACAATAAAACAAACTAATTCTTCTTCTGCCCTTGCCAAAGCATAAAATGGGTGGTCCAATGATATGATGAAGTACCTTGTCCTCCTTAAACTTCAAATCCAACCAGTAATCCTTTCAAGCTTTAGCCAAATTGATAACAACCCTTTTAGGGTCAACTATCACCTTACACTTCTCTGGGACAATCTCCTTGTGCAGTTTAGGTATAGCCCATTTGTAATTCTTTCCTTGGAAATCATGGAATTTGATGTCAAAGTACATAGGCTTAGTTTGGACATATTGTGTATTATGGGTTGTAGTGCCTAGTTTTGATGTTTAGCTTTGATTAACTGGTGTGCTATGGAATCCAAATGTCCTCTGTAGACCAATCTCAGGTGCTGCTATATAATGCTGATATTTTTCAATGTTTCAGTTATTGGAAAATAACATGGAATTGTGATACCAATTGAGTTCTTTACTCTGTTTTTTTGTATTTTATAACTTGTGTTCCATTTATCATCTTAATGCTTGATGAAATTGTCTGGTCTCTTGTGTTCCTTCCCAAAGGCTTAAGATTATGAAATTGTCTGGTCTCTTGCTACATCAAAGTTGAAATTTAGTATTTAATAAATCCTTTCCCAAATCTTGTTGATGTAAAGGAGCGCAGATGATCACAATCTTCTTGTCCTCACGATTAAACATTTGCAGCAATTCAATCAATGAAAAAGAGGCCGAAATTTTGATAGAACTCACATATAAAAATATACCATAAACTCAATAACTAGTTTTGGGATAATGGATGGGAAGCACTCAGAAAATACACAACACTTACTTTGACCCATCCTTTGGCATGGATATGGAACAAGGACTTTGGCCCTTGTTTGCATTCCCATTTATCTATGTATCAAAGCATGAGGCAGTTTTGTACATGATCAAGTATATTGAGCATCCGCAAGACTTGTAGCTCGAGTGGTTAAGAACATTCATCTATGCACCCAAGATCATAAGTTTGATTCTCCTCACTAATATCACTTGTGTATGTTGATTAATCGTGTTCTCCATCCATTGACCATGAAAAATTAGAACTTAAGCCTCGACCTGAACCAAGCAAGAAATGCCATGTTTGAGGAGCTCCTGACAGTAGAGCCTGATTAGGAGAAGCTTTCTTACAATTTGTTGCTGGAAAGGCTGCTGAAGGATATTCAGGTTCAGATATTCGATTCCTCGAAGACAAACAAGAGGATAATAAAGTCGGAGAACCCCCTTCTCTCTACAAAACACAAAAATGCCAAAAATTTACATATCAGAACTCACCACCACTGGCACTGAGTGAGATTGATCCATAATCACCACCACACCAGGTGGCAATCCAAGTCCTGTGCCACAAAATCCACATATAAATTTAAAAACAAATTCCATGGAGACTATAGAAGATCCGTAGACTTTGATTGAATAGGGCTTAAAAAGTTGTTCAACATACGTACCAAATCTCTGAGAGAGGATGAAAAGCCAGAGACACAAGTGTGATGAGGCAGTTGTTATCAATTAAATACCTTTGGCCAAAAATCTTGTGTATTAAGTTATTAACCCCTTTCTCTCTGAGAATTTGTTTTTTTTTTTTTTTTTTTTTTTTTTTTTTTGAGAGAAACTCTGTTTCAGTCACTCTGTGTCTCTCAATGGCTGTGGACAAAGACAAGCTTGAAGAAGACGCTTCCATTGCCCGCTTCTACAAGATTGTTCTTAGTTTTTCGTCCGCGAAAAATCAACAGTAGTTTCTCTTTCCTTCAACTGTCATGTACATGCATATATGTATATTATTTTTATATTAAATTGATGCAAATTTCAATTGTTTGTGGAGCAGGATAGTAAAGATGGTTTTGTAATGGAAAAAGTGAAAGACACCTACAAAGATGTGGATGATTATATCTCGAAGAAGCCAAAGCTCAAGATTATTCAAGATAAATTTTTTTTTTTTTTTTTTTTTTTTTTTTTTCTTTCCTTTCTCTGTTTCGTTTTGAGAAAATTTGCTTCTCACTGGATTTTCTTTGTACATTACTTGTGCAGTAGGAGACACCACGGAAAGGTGTGTTGTGGAGTGCACTGAAGTTGATCTGTTTCATTTCACTTAGCAGTTCTTACCCCTGCGAATGACATGGATGGCAAGAAATCAGTATCGCAGAATGATCTTTTGCTTCTTTCAAATTCGAATACATATGCAGTTAAACCACGTTTAAGGCTGTTAAACATGAAGTCTTTGGTAACTTCTAGTAGTGAACGAGACAGGTTCTTTTACACTTGTAAGGTAACTTTTTTTTTTTAACGTAATGAGGTTAATTCTTCTCATGGTTTTCGGGTGATCAAACTATTTCTTTTATGCTTGGGCAGCTTCCGAGATCAATTTGTTTGGTGGAATGTAATCATGTAATATGCATCTACTTGTCCACTGACTATTTCATTAGGTAGTGGGATCTGCGTCAACATTAAGGAGGATTAAGCATTGGAAAAAGCCAAGTCATTCCGACTCAATGCTTATCATCATATGATATTCATAATTTCACATATATTTGTGATTTGATCATATGACATTGTTCTGGTGATTTATTGCAGGTTCCAAATAAGGACTTCGATTCATTTTTCAGTGATGAGAATATGAAATCGTTTGCAGTCAAGGAAGAATCCTCGTCAACGGAGGCGGTTCGCAATGATGATGTGGACAACTATGCACCTTCCGACAATCTTTGGGATGTTGACCAAGCACAGGAAGATGACAATGACTTTGGAGTAGGCGACATGGACATGGACATGGATAATGCAAGCTGCAGTGATGATTGAGTCTAGAAATTTCCAGGTTACTCATTTGATTTCGAAGCTTGTTGTGTAAGTTACAAGGTTTTACTTGACCCAGCTATTAAGACTAGAAGTGCAAATTGGATAAGGAATTCCTTATTTCATGACTGATTTCAATTTCTCGCGCCACCTTTTCTTTGGCAAGCACAATTCGAAACAATATTTTAAATTGAAATTTTCCAAATTCAAATCTGAAAAAAAAAAAAAAAAAAAAAAAAAAAAAAAAAAAAAAAAAAAGATAGGAACTGGAATGTACGTCAAGATTCCAGTTGGGTCATTTTTTGAAAGTATGAACAAAAAACCTTCATGCAACTCATATAAAAGAGAGAATAAATAAACAAAAACTCGTTTAAAAAAATTTCGAAAGAAATCGGGTATAGCCGGGCGGCTATACTATTTTAAAAAAATCAAAATAACCGCTTAGCTGCCCACATGTCAGAATAAGTATATTCGCGCTATACTACTATTTTTTTGACAAACATTAATAAAACAGATTATAGCCGGGGGGCTATACTATTTTTTGGAAATATTAATACAGCTGAGTATCGCCGCGCGGCTATACTATTTATTTTTTTAAAAAAAGGAAGTATAGGCGACCGGCTATACTGTTTAAGAAATGTTGATAAAACCAAGTATAGCCGAGCGGCTATACCATTTTAAGAAAAAAATTAAAAAATGAGTATCGCCGGGCGGCTATATTGTTTTTAAAAAAATAAAAAAACCAGGTATAGTTGCCCGGCTATAATATTTATTTATATAAAAAAAAGGGAACGCTCTAGCGATTAGGTGCCACGTGTAAAAAAAAGCAGCCGGCTATACTTTTTTTTTATAAAAAAACTGCTTATAGCCGACCGGCTATACGAATTTTTTTGGGAGTTTCACTAAAACACCCAAAATGAGGGCTGAAATTATAAAAAAACCCAACACCCAAAACACTTTATAAATACACCCGAAACCCATCATTACACACACTCAAAACTCATTTATAAACACACCCAAAAAATATACAATTGTTTATTTTGGGGTTGATTTTGGGTGTGTTTCTATGTTTAAATAGTCCTTGGGTTTTTTTATAAATACATGCCTAAGATTGGGTTTATTTATAAATTTGTAAATTTTTTTTACATAAAAAGAGAACCCCCAGCGATTCGGGACCACAACAAGGCTATTTTTAAAAATTAAAAAACACGGAGTATAGCCGGTCGGCTGTACTATTATGTTTTTTTTTAAAAAGAGGGCCGTCTAACGATTAGGCGCCACATGTCAAAAATAAGTATAGCCGGCGGCTAAAAAATTGTAGTCTAGCCGCTCGGCTATACGATTTAATTGAAACTTTGATATCATAAAACCCAACAGCGATTCGTGAATATTAAAAACTAAAATTATTAATGCCAGTATCTTTCTTTTATTTGAATTATTTCTCCTCCTTCGTCCTTTTAGGTTTGTCCCATCTTTCTTTGTCATTGCTTGGGACTCGAGGAAGAGCAGGCCAGAGCAGGGCAGGAAAAAAGAAAATACCCCTTGGCAGTTTATTTTGCATGGAATGATCTCCGCATGCAGCCGCCAATGCCCTGTCGTTCATGCTGCCTGCCTGCCTGCCAATGTAATATTGGTACTAGTTTTCCTGCTGGACTAGCTGGTTTATGTAATATTGGTACTAGTTTTCATGTGTGTGTAGGTGGTGGTTTGTGCTAAAATAAAATTACAGCTAGCTTTTCAATTAAAACCAATTCATTTTCTAATGACACTTGCATGCTTATTTTCTTCTGGCTAATCATAGAAATAAACTTAATTTGTTTGGTCAAAATGGCCAACAAAGCGTCGAGCTACAACACTTTTCTTCTTAAGGACGTCAAAACCAAAGGAAGGATTCTTTTAGCTGACTAGAAAGCCATAAGAAGTCTCGAGAGCACAAGATGGCATTGATTGAATATGCATGTGAATGAAGGGTATATATGGTATCCTCACATTTAAACTCGAGAGCAGATGATACTAGAGAGATAATAGCACTTGTCATGGCCATGTTATTAATATGATATGAGTTCAACTACAAATATGATAGTTCCAATACCAAATCCACATCAAATGATCATCGATTAGAGGCTACTACGCGAAACAGAAAGCGTTCCAGCCTACCATCTAAGACTTTAGAAAAAGCTATGTTCAATAGACTTCCATGACATTACAAAGAACCGTCCAGCAACAAAAGGACTAACTACCATAAAGCCTGCCAGAAGCAAAAAAACTACTTAAAATACAATGTTCTATAGCCCCAGATTGATTGAACACCTCTTCGATGATGAATCAGGGGTTTCTCCCGAATTTTGCTTCAGTCCATGCTTTGGCAACTGTTCTTTTCATCTCTGGATCCCCTTCTTCGTACATATTCTGCAAGTTGCATTTCATACAGTTATTAACCAGACAGATATATAGTGTACATGTACGTTTATTCAATGTGATTGCATTCACATTTTCATGTATGACAGTACTGATGTTTGTTTTCAAATGTGGATTTGCATGCATATACATGTGTACATCCTATCAACCTCAAAGCTTGATAACCTTACCTTCATTATGGCCATGGCTCCTACAAAAGGATCTGGTTCTTCATCCCAATTTGGCATCGGCATCGGCTGCAAGATCAAACAATAAAACAATTAGTTCCATTTCTGCCTTTGCCGAAGCATAAAATGGGCGGTCCGAAGAAAATGATGAAGTACCATTTCCTCCTTGAACTTCAAATCCAACCAGTAATCCCTTGAAGCTTTAACCAAAGTGATGACAACCTTTTCAGGCTTGGTTATCACCCTACACCTCCCTGGGTCAATCTCCTTGTGCAGCTCAGGTATAGCAAATTTGTAATTCTTTCCTTCAACATCATGGACTTTGATGTGAAAGGACGAAGGCGTGAAGCCACCCTCTATGTTCTCCTGATCAACTCCCTTCAGATATATATATACCTGCAGGAGGAAGGAAAGAAGAACACCAAAAACCATAAAATTAGCAATTGGAAGACACATGACCATTGCTTATAAGAAGAACAATAGCATAATTCATTTTGTTGCTTTGATGTTGCCTCATTGCAGAACACGTAAATGAGACAAGTAACCTAGACGTGCTTATCCTACGTAAAATCACATGGTAAAAACATCCTCACCTTGACATCAATATTATTTTGTTCCCAGCCGAATGACGCAAGCATCTCATAATGCCGAGCAGGGGTGCAAGTTGTAGCTAAAATTGGAATAGGCAAAGTAGCAGCCCCTTGTGGTAACTGTAATAATCAAACAACATTAGCTTCTATAAGCGTATAAGCAAAGATAGAAAAGTTACTGTGTAGGCTTGACGTGGTGGGTTAAAACGAATTTAGTAAGTGCTACATGATACAATAATATCTCATCCTAGATGGTAAATACCCATGGTAACATCCTCACCTTGACGTTATCATAATCTTGGTCCCAGCTGAATGGCACAGGCTTGTCATGTAGCAGAGCAGGGGTGGGAACTGCAGTAGCATCCCCTTGTGGCATCTGTAATGATCAAACAACATTAGCTGCTATAAGCCTATTATAAGCAAAGAAAGAAAAGTTAATGTATAGGCTTGACGTGGAACAATAATATCTCATTCTCTCTGAACAAAAATTTAGTGGAGGACTTGTAGAGTTTAAATAATGCCAAATCAAACTTCGACAACACAGGTCAAAGAATCCACAGACATATTTGACATCATTGATCAGACAACAACTAAAGACACCACAATCATCTACAACCGTGTGATGGCACTCATTTGCATGCATGCCTGGAAAGAAATCACTTTGATCCACAACCAAACCCAAAACCAGGTTCAGGTTATTCATAACTCTACCCATCCCTGGTTATTATGATCAGTAGTTATAAGTTTTGGCCTCTTCTGCTAACAAGAGGAAGTCACAACAACACAACAAAAATTACAAAAGCACTCTGTTTTTCACCACCCAGAAAAGCATTTCTAAATTGTACCCATATCATATTGAACTCCCAAAAACTCACTTCATACGAGATAAAAATGAAAGACCCATTTTCTTCCGTATCTGTAAACCCTTCTTTGTTGTAGATATAACTACTTCGCATACCCTGAAAGAATTCACCTTCATTTACCAGGAAAGTGGACAGGGTTGGGGACTTTTTTCTTATCAAGAATCATGTAATACCAAGAAAAAGAGAAATCACCTTCTTTTGAAATTCCAAGAAGCGAGTTTATGCAACTAAGAACGATAACAGCCTCAAATAGGATGTTTTATTTTTGACCCACAATCGAAGAATCCATATCATATTGACCTCAAGAACTCAAGACCCATTTTCTTCAAAACTGTACCCACCCCATTTTCATACACTCGTCAGCTAACAGGAAGTAGCAAAAAATTGCAAAAGCACTCAAGAACAATTCGTAAACCCATATCATATTGAACTCAAGAACTCAATACCCATTTTCTTCCATAACTGTAAACCCCATTTTCATGCAATAAACTGGGTACATTATCAAGCAGTCATACATATTTTCCGCAAAAACTTTGCGACCCATGCTTAAGATATGTAAGGAGAACAAAATAGTGGCTTGTAAATGAAACAGTACAGATATAAAAATGGGACCTTTTCCAAAGCGCGAATCGCAGAGGAAATGAAGTTGATGATATGGGGTCGTGTAGCAATGCTCTTAAGGTGGTGAAGCTCCACCAAATCTAGCGCCACTTCGTCTGCCATTTTCGTCTTTCTTTCACTCCACGCTTGGTTTCTTTTCCTTCACACTATCTTTGCTAATTGTAATTGCTCTCAAAAGAAACAGAGCGCCTTTGATGGTTTAGATGGGTATTTATATTTGGGTTAAGACAAGAAGCCGCATAAATTTGCTATGAGCTTAGCGAGGGAAATGAGAGGGGTATATTGGGAATTTACTGTTCCAATAAGGTTCTAGATTCGATGTTTCGGACCGGTTGCAAATAGTGGGCGCGATACACGTGAAACTTTTGTTAGGGCTTATTATTTGGGCTTGGTTCTCGGCTGGCTGCTACTCAACAACCAGCCTGTTATTCTCAGATCCCATAGCCCAAAAGCCTATTCTCATTTTTTGTCATTGCAGAAAGTGGGAGTTGAATTTGAGACCTCTTTCAGTGCTGAGAACAAAAACGTTACTCGGGTACGAGCTAGTTGCCACCCGAAATCCTATAAAAGCATCTTTTTGTAAAGTCATAATATGATTTGCGTTGCAAATTATCAGAATTTGTGTATCAATGTATGTCTCTACAATTATTATGTACAATGATGCACTTGCAAGAGCGGCAATACTAGCATTGTCTTATGAGAATCAGATATATGCTAATGTGCACACTACGGTGATCAGGATTTGTAACTTGTGTCTTGTTTGTGTTTGGTTAGAATGGTTTGAAGCTGCTTTTGCAATTGGGCTCTAATTTGGTAATTAGAAGCCAACTTTCTATCAAGCTCCTCTTTCATAGCTAAAAGCTCAGACTTTCTCATTTCAGCCGCAGCTATCTCAGAATCACTTGTGCATCTGTCACTGCCTTGGAATTTGACAAACCTCGATTGAATCTGTTAAGTTGTAAGAATCTTCATCAATCAAACATCTAAATTGCATCCTCAAAAGCCCTTGAATTTTGAAATTCCCAAATCTTGCTTTGCATATCATTAAAGTTGTGATCTGTACGGGTTTGATTGGGTTCTTTTTTTACCTCATTGATGCCCTTCTTCAAATCTTGAACTTGCATTTGGCATTCAAAAGCAAACCTCTCCACATTTTGCTTGAACTCCTTCATTTCAGAGCCCTTCAGTTCATAAAACCTGTTCTTCTCCTTCTCCAAGTCCTCAAGCTCCTCCACCTCACTCTTCAAAACCCTAACATTCCATTCCCAATTCCAATACGATATTAAGTTCTAATTTTAACCTAATTAATCAATTGAGATGAAACTAATACCTCAATTGATGATAATCGGTTTGATTTTTCTCGTCGAGGCGATCGATCTCGGACCTCAGCGCCCAAATCTTGAAGCTTTGCGATGCGATCTTTTGGTCGAGCGCCAAGCACCTCTGCTCCGTGGCCCTCATGCTTGCGATTCTCAAAACCAGCGCCTGAGACTTGTTCTCCTGCACTTCTTTCTCTGCCTGCAAACGAAGCCAGAACTAATCAGATTTTTGCTCCAATTTGGCCGCAGAGAAAGCGTAGGAAATTTGACGAAATAAGCAATTCTAAATTTCTGATTCTTAGAGAAATTGAACAGAATTGAAGGAGATTAGGGTTTGTGCTTGGTACCTGGAGGAGAGAGAGGCGTTGGTTACGAGTATGCTCCATGTGTTCAAGTCGTTCCCGAAACGCAGCAGAGAGCGCCATTGCAATCTGCAGAGGAGATGGCTCAGAAACTGTGGTTTCTGAACGGTCAACGAAATTTTGAATTTTGAAATATATATAGAGGAGCTTAGAAGAATACGTGCTCTAATGCGATTGGTTACAAAGAGTGGGCTGCCAATTTTATTTTATTTCGCATTAATTAAGAAAATTAAAAGTTGTGCTATCGCAAACATGAATGGGCTAGTAGTGCAATATATATAAAAACAGAAATGCTTCTCTTATAGTATGATTTCTCTTTCGTTTACTAATACTTTATTAATTTATGGTTTTATTAATACATTATTAATTCATGGCTTTCTTCACATTTACTAATATATTAAAGATAAAAAATTATGTAGGTTTCATATTAAATCCATAATGTAATATTCTCGTTGGATTGCGTTAAGTACAATTCCCATATTCTTATATTTCTCGATTCATGACTTCCCCAAATCTTAATAAGTAAAACATGCTCTTAAATTTTGATATTAGTGGAAGCGCATTATAATGACCCTTTGTGATTTGTTGCTTTTTTGGTTCAATTATGAATGCAATTCTAACACAAAAAATGAGATTTTAGTTTTATTTTAAATTATATATAGAGTATGACTCACTCGCTGTGATTATCGTACTTATTAATTTAGCTCGTTGTTTTGAGTTGCTTTTGTCTAGGGACCAGGGTTTATGTGGATTTTCCAAATAGTTTACATTTTTTATAATCTTTATAATGAGTGCATGGTGCAAGGAGGTAGGTAGCTAGTTTCTATGACTAATATCATCATAGGGAGTGTGTTCCCCTCAATTTGGTGCGAACTTATACTATTTACCAACCGACCTTAATTAGTATGTTAATGATGAGATAAACAATGAGGAGAAATAGCACTCTGAATCTAATTACCCCCAAAAAAATATACTTTGAATTTAAAACTGTTTTTTTGGGTTGAGAGAATTTTAGACTGTTTAGTCTTTAATTTCTGCTCACTTTCTCCAAATGCTGACAAGGTTTTTATAAATATTCATACAGTTGACACGGAAAGAGCCTATCGCACGTGAAGAGCTATTGCAGATGGTGAGAGGTTAGTGACTTAGTGAGAAAGAAACATATAATTATTAAAGAATAATAACAATATTGACTTGCACAAATATAATATAATATTAATTACCATTTTGAGAAATATATCGAAAGTTCCCAGATCTACAATGGAAATATTGTTGCTAACCACTTTAACTTAAGGTGTATGCTCACAACCATTCTTAATATATGACATATGTTCATATGTCTAACTATGGTTAACTTTTTACTTTGACTTATATAACTATAGCTATGCTTATAGACACGTGTCAAGTGTTGAGAAGGATGATGAACATACACTTTGGGTTAAAGTGGTGAGCTAAAATACTCCCGATCTACAAGGAAATATATGAGCAGAATTTATACTTTTTATTTTTATTTTTTAATTTCATATTGTTTACTATTAATGTATATCTGACTAAGCAACTGCCGAAAACTGAAAACTTCCCATGTGGAAGAGGACGGTGCCTTTATAAAAGCATCTTCCACAATTATGTACCAATTAAAGGCAACATTAAACAAGTAATTAATGCCTAATCCATCATGCATGATCCCTAAACATGGCATATGAGGCTAATCAACCTATCATTGTGCCCTTATTAAAATCACAATCATCGACAAATAAACTACCACAATCGAACAATTGCCTTTGACCCTTGGAAACAAAAGCAGGGGTTACTTTGCTTATACAAATATATGAAAGCCATTTTATCGGCACTAGCTAGCATTTCACAAGGAGTAAAAGGCATGCAGATTCACATTATATATGTCATTTGAGTAGGACCTTTCTAGTTTCTTTCCTTTTTCTTTTTGAGTAATTACTTTGTGATATATAATGTGTTTTTATTTTATTTTTACAGAATGATATTCTAACAACTCTAATGTACGAGGAGGGGGATCGAACTCTAATACAAAAGAGCAAGCACACTGTCTTAACTAACTAGCCTAACTTGCATATGCGATATATATATCATGTGTTTACGGGAATTGAATCCCACAAATATATGGAATTTTCCAACTTCAATCAATCATTTTTGGAATATTACAATCATGAATAATAATTCATGATCATCATGCTAATGTGACAAACAAACTATTAATTAAACTAATGTGAGCATATAAAATACACAAAAGGGAGTACCATATATTCTGTGTCAGATCATTAGTGTCGAAAGAATCATTTTCTGAGAATAATGGTGGTCCAAAGCAGCATGCATCTCGTTTAGGTAATAATCTCTGACATCAAATCTCATTTAAATGTCCAAATAATTTTAAAAAAGCCACCAAAAATGTGCCCTTTCCAAACCATGCAATGCAATGTTGTGGTGAATCAAGGAAAAAGCCTTAAGCAGTAGATTAAAATATATTTAATATGTTTTTTCTTCGTATTATATATATATAGCTAGCTCTGTGATTGGAGTTATATGCTGCCCTCACAAAGCTAAAAGGTTAAGGGAATTAAGAAGAAGAAGACAATTAAAAAGATAGCGTGAAATGACACAAATAAATGTTGACAGATAAGCATATGCCTGTCTGATACATTGGACAGAAAACATAAGCGAATAATATATGACACATATATATCAAAATCCTATGAAAACTTGAAAATTGAGGCACATCAAATCATGCCACCTAGCTTACATTATGGAATATGACGCTTACATATATATTCTTCTGGCTTAAATATAGGTTATTTTAATTTTAATCTAACTTGTCTTAGCAATAAAGCCCAAGAAAACGCCGACCTACACCAGTTTTCCGCAGAAGTAGAGTTGTTAATTAATTTCAGTAAAAAGGGTCAAAGAAAACTACTTTTTTTTTTCTTTTTCACAGAGAGAATCTAACTTCTTGATGGGTCTCTTAATAAAAATTACATTCGCAAACATGATTCAGTGGAAAGGGACCTTGACTTGCAGACTACAATTGTCTTACGTTCGAGCCCCCATGATATCTTGGTAGTGTGTGTGAGAAGAAACTCTCATTCTTTTTGTAGTTTGGACTATCGCTTGTATTTATATATATATATATATTTAAAATTAATAATAAAAATTGCTTTATTTTTGCCCTTTTTTGTTTAAAATTCTAAAGAAGATTGATGAGAAATCGTAGTGGGGGGTGTGGGAATTTGTTGGAGAGCATGTGCAGCATGTTGGATGATGTCAATAGGAAGACCATCCTCATCATGTTGAACTAAGGCTGAGCTTACATTGTCTGCCTCTCAGCTCTTATAACAGACAAAGAAAAGCTAGAAGAAGAAAAAAAAGCTCCTTTGCATAAAGCCAATGCTGACGGTTTTTATAGGCTAGGGAGGAGAATAAAGTTTGGCCGCCCATTGTCTGCTTCTTCAAGATAATAAAAAGAACCAAACAAGGCCTTTCCCTTTTTTACACTTTAGGATTTCATTATCTCATTTTTATACATGAACTTTATGCAGCAAATTTAATCTCTGAGAGAGAGAGAGAGAGAGAGAGAGAGAGCCACAGAGATGAATTTAAAGCAAATTTGAGAAATATTATATATGCAGGGAACTGTTATGGATTCCACGTTCCAAAGGAAACAGCTTTTCCTTGCAACCAATAGAAACAGACATATGAATTCTCTCACTATTTAGTTTTTTTTTTTTCCTCTAAGCAACAACATGGTAAAATGTATAATCAAATGACATTGAAATGACATTGTTTTAACTACATGATCTTGACGTAGGACTTGTCACAGTAAGAAAACACTAAGTAAGCTGCTTCTGCATGATCAATTTCTGGTGTGTAATTCATTCTTCGAAATGTCGATTTGAAAGTCATTGCCTAATGAAGTAATCTTGTTTCTGAAGAATAGAGAGCTCATTATCTTTGTACCCATCAAAAGTAAATATTTACAACAACTCCCATTTGCTTAAAATGGTCTTCTCATATAAACTTGGAAGCTCAGCACACATGCAAGCATCCAGTACACCCAGCTTTGATTATATTCCATGGTTGCTGCCTGTTTCACCAAAAAAATTCCATTTAATTAGGAATAGAACAAAAGAATTAGGTCACAGTTAATCCAAATTTAGCACTCAATACTTACGAAATTGGTTTTTTTTACGCATGCAGTACTTGAGGAACAAAAAAATCAGTAATCTATGTTGCACGGACACTCCAATATTTTAGGTATGCAGTGTCCCCGTGTTGTGTCGTGTCATGTATCATGTGGTTGGGCCCGTGCAACATAGACTGTAATTTAATTATGTAGAAATAGCTCTTGTTGCATTGATATGTGTATTAAGTACATACAAATCCCTATTACACTTTTGCCTTTCTGGCACATTTACATATGTTAAAGGAAAAAGAAATTTGAGGAAGCAAGAAAGAACCTATGATTTTACCTTTGTAGCAGAGGAAGTAAAATCAGAGACTGATGAGGTTGTTGTGGATGGAGTTCTGGCTGAATTAGTAGTTGACAAGGAAGACAACCCAACATTATAAGCCATGGTGCCATCAGGGTGAAACAGGCCATAGTTCCTTTCGGAACTCGGCCCCGGCTTCATGTTCTCATTGAACAGAGCAAACACATAGACTTCCAGCCTCAGTTTAGGCCTCAAAGGCGTGCCTTCATTTTGCAGCTGCCTCCTCAACAGATTTCTATTGTAAATTGCGGCGTTCTGCAAAGTTGCACCGATTTCATTTTCGTCCCCGTTGGATGGCCAGCCAGTCTCGGAGACCTTAACCTCAATGCCATTGAATCCCAGCCTAGCCATGGCATAAATGGCTGCATCAACTTGAGCATACAACATGTTGTCGTAGTGTAGTTTGGTAAAAGGATCAACCATTCCTTGATTGGGGTTGAAAAGCACATAGTCCAAAGAGACTCTACTTGGGTCACCTTTGTATGCAAAATATGGATAGGCATTGATCCAGAAAGGTGCCTTTGTGGTCTGAAGGAACTGTAACAATTGTGACATAACCCCAGAGACCTCAGTTTTGAAGCTACCTGCCGAAGGCGGATAAGATTCTTGAAGCACAGCCAAAGAACAAGGGGTTGAGAGTTTGATGTATTGGTCAAGGCCTAGCTGAGCTAGAGCCCCTTGAATGCTGACCATGGCTGGAACCAGATTGGATAGTAGAACTGTTGTGTCATCATCTGTGAAGACCTCATTGCCCACAGCAATGCTGGTGATTTTTGTGGCTGGAACATAAGGCTTGATGTGGGAGGTAACCCATTGGAAGGCTGCTTGGGGGTTACTTAATTGGCCTAGCATTGAATTCTCAATGGTCACCATTAGCTCAACACCAGAATTTGCAAATGCTGTGAGTACCTGAGGATTCGTGTCGTAAATTCGTGCTTTCGTGATCCTAAGAGAGCTCAAGAGGTCCAGGACTTTCTCTGGTGGCAGCAAATTGTTGCCAAGTTGGCCATAATTGATACCAAGTGATGAAACTCCTTGCAGGAAACCAAAATCTGTAAAGAAAAGTTAAAAACATACAGCAACAAAAACAGAGAAAGTGCATTAGAATTTGAAGGGAAAATTAACAAAAACATGACAAAAATGAAGAAAAACAAAGAGGGTACCTGAGAAACAGAGTGAACATAGAAGAAAAATCCTGAATGTGGAAATTCTGCTAAAAAAACTTGCCATAGAGAGAGAGAGAGAGAGAGAGAGAGAGTGAGAGAGAGAGAGAGAGATGTGAGAGAGATGTAAGAGAGAGTTTGAAGAATTGGGAAGAAACTTGATAGGGAGATATAGAGTTGTGTTTTGTGTAGGGAGAAGGAGAAGCTGAGAATTCCTTTCTTTTCTTGGCTATAATTTTTGGGGGGTTTTGAGGCTTATAGCTTGCCTTGGCAATGTTGTCTTTGGTTTGGCTCTTACCTCTCAACTGGTTTTAAATGACTTGGGTTTGGGTGGATTGTATTTTCTTCGTCTCGATGGTTCCTTTTAGAGACTGGCTGGCTTGTCTCTTTCCAACCCACGCCAACTCCCCTACTTTATATGACCAAAAATACCCTCGCCACTTTCTTCCGATAAAGGCAAAGAGCAATCCCACTAAGTTGGTTAAACTTCAATATGTAAGACGACTGCAACTTGGCAATCCCAGAGAATATGAGAAACGAGTTTTGGACAAGCCTCAAAAACCAGGAACTATAACTGAAATTTGTCTGAATGATGAGATAAATTTCTAATTCAACTAGAAAAATTAACTCCTAAATTACAAAGAAAATCAAACACGAACCGAATCGAAAAAGACAAAAACCTAAAATAACAAAAACGGGAAAGTTTCCCAAAGTCTTTAAACACAAGGCACCTAAACAAAATTTCCTTTTTCATATAGTATATTCGTCTTGAAATTTTGGATGGAGAATAAGTTTGATGCACTTCATAAAATTGCATGTAATAGTTTGTCCAAACAACATTGTTTGGCTAACCAAAGATTCGTTAAAGCTTTAGCCATATTGGGGCTCAAGAATCTTGTATTCTTTTCTTTTTCCACACTTGAGGCAAATTACACTAGCTAGTTAAAGTTAAAAGTAAATGGCTCCTGGGTAAAGTTAGTTTGAATCCAAACAACCCCAAGTGAGTGCATGTAGCTTCTACACCTCGGCAAACCCTAGCTATATTGGCTCATGAATCATATTTACCTTTTTCTTTGCTTCCACTTCTTTGCACATTTGTTCTTAAGCGCATTAGGGGAGGAAAAGAAAAGACCAAGAAAGAGAGTCTTCTTTCCCATATTTACTTGAGAGATGCATAGAAAAAGTTGAAAGAGAAACGTTTCACCTTTCCTTTTCTTCAAGAATCAAGAGAAATGTTTTACTTAATTAGGGCCAGTTTTCTTTTCCCCTGTCGTGTCGCTTTTTATGATTCGACATTGTATATATAATTTTATATGATCTTTCTTAATTCTAAAATAAAAATGAATTTTTTTATAAAAAAAACTAATTAGTACACTCATGAACATGTGCCAAGAGATCAGTATATATTGTATCATGTTATAATTTATTTGTGTGGCATCATGGCATCATAATCTAGCAATATTCATAAATAAATAAAAACAATAATCAATAAATTATTGTAAATGAAAAATAACAATAATAACATTAACCATGCATGCATGGTAGAATTGTTGGTCAGGTGGTAGAATATATAAAGGAGCCCTAAGATCAATCCTTTTGAGAAGAGGACAAACAAATGTACATGTAATATTCGGTCTTTTATATATTTAACAACGAAAAAAAAATCAAAAAGTTAATTACGTGATTAGGCCAAATTGACCTCTTAAAAAGGGGTTAGCAGCCAAAATGTGTTGTATGCGGATAAGGGTTGAATCAAAATACGTGGGAATGATAGGGACCAAATGAGTGTCGTCCTACGTACTTGAGTTTTTTTTTCTTCTTCTTTGGCGACTTTACCAGGTGGCCTTGCATTCAAAAATACACCCTTTTATACCGTCAAATTTAGCTTCCTGTATATAATAACACGTGCAGAAATAGGGTCCAAGTTTGGCTCTGGATTGATAATTTTTTTAATTAATGATTAAACGGATCTTAATTAATTGTTAGGAAAGCAATATGACGAAGCGTAATTTGATCAAGTTAATTAAGAATCAGAGTTTGCCAGAGGCAGTGAATTTTGTGTAGGTTGGTAAGGTATATATATTATATGATATTGCATTTGCATGCATGAGATATCAAATAAAATTCCTTAAACATATATATATATATATATATATATATACAGAGAACTGACATTGAGAGATCCTTTAAATTAGCTTATTTGAGGGACACCCTTATAAGGCCTACTTCGTATTGTATTTCACTAATCCAAATCGTCTATTTTGTAGATACTTATTCAAAGATCATCTATATAAAAAAATCACTTGAATCCGTTATCATTTGACCGCTCAATTGAATTATTGAAATTTTAGTACTTTCAAGCACCGTATTCATTGATTTTGTAGGACACAATTGGATATAGAAACGGTTTCCAATTTGTCTAATTTTTTTTCAAAGATGATCTATGAATGTAGACTTAAAAAAATAGATGATTTGGGTCGTTTAAAAAAAAATCATAAGGACCCTTAAATATATATATATATATATATTGTTTCTTAAGATTGAAAGGATGACATCTCGTTATCGGATTGAAAGGTGAAAAAATGATGAGCAAGAGAGAGACAAGTTGCGGTGAAGTTTCTCTTTTAGCAATTTGCAAACAAAGTGGCTCTTCCCCAGCCAGGCATGTGAATCGTGATCTCACTGCTAAAAGAGATAAAAAGAAAGTCTTACATTTCAAAGGTGAAAGGCCCTTTATTAATTTTCTTCAAATTAAAGCTAGCTAGCACTTGCATTAGTCGATCGTCATCAAACCTCTGGAAATAGCTAGTAAAGATCTAAAGGAATGCATCATATTTATCCCTTGCTCATCACCTCTCTCTCTCTCTCTCTCTCTCTCTCTCTCTCTCTCTCTCTCTCTTGTCTGATTCGTCGACAGACACACATATATGTTCAACAATATATATGGTGAATATAGTTTCCTTGCTACATTCAATTGGATTTTCTTGAACTAGACCATCTTCAAAATTTCAATTTAAAATTTTAGTTATATTATTTTGGATTTTTTAATTATTAAGGTTTTTGGTGTGGTTTTTGGATGTATAGTAGAAAAATACCAATAGCACACTAATTATAAAAAATTATATAGTTTTTGGTTTAATTAGTTGTATTTCTCTTCTTAATGTCATAAGAGATTTCAAGTCCAAGTCCCTAAATCCATTGACTCTCTCTCTCTCTCTCTCTCTCTCTCTAATTCGTTGACAAACACAGATATATGTTCAACAATATATATGGTGAATATAGTTTCCTTGCTACATTCAATTGAATTTTTCTTGAACTAGACCATCTTCAAAATTTCAATTTAAAATTTTAGTTATATTATTTTGGATTTTTTAATTATTAAGGTTTTTGGTGTGGTTTTTGGATGTATATATAGTAGAAAAATACCAATAGCACACTAATTATAAAAAATTCTATAAGTTTTTGGTTTAATTAGTTGTATTTCTCTTCTTAATATCATAAGAGATCTCAAGTCCAAGTCCCTAAATCTGTTGATTTAGTATATACTCTCTCTCTCTCTCTCTCTCTCTCTCTCTCGTTTGATTCGTTGACAGACACACATATATGTTCAACAATATATATGGTGAATATAGTTTCCTTGTTACATTCAATTGGATTTTTCTTGAACTAGACCATCTTCAAAATTTCAATTTAAAATTTTAGTTATATTATTTTGGATTTTTTAATTATTAAGGTTTTTGGTGTGGTTTTTGGATGTATAGTAGAAAAATACCAATAGCACACTAATTATAAAAAATTCTATAGTTTTTGGTTTAATTAGTTGTATTTCTCTTCTTAATGTCATAAGAGATCTCAAGTCCAAGTCCCTAAATCCGTTGATTCAGTATATATTCTCTCTCTTTTTTAATCCGTGGATGAATCAAAACAAGAATATGCATATATGTTTATGCCCCCAGTCAATTATCACCTGGTCAATGCTATCTTTTTCCATGGATCCAAAAGGATTTGTATATACGCGAAAGGAGAGGATCGAGAGAAATCCAATCCAAAGAAGTTTTTGTAAAGAACATGCATGCTTTTGTTAAAGAGGAAGCATCATGGAAGAAGAAAAAAAGGAGGTATGCTCAAAAGTAAGTTTATGAGGTGCAAATGCATGCGATGCATGAACGAATACACACAGCTCCACATGTATATGTTTGCCCAAAGACATGCTTCTTTTCAAGGGCCCTATCATTCTACACCAATTTGGTTGGAAAATGCAACAATATACAAGGGCAAGCCTTGCATTTGAAGGGTCATTGCTAGCCCTAGCCATATGCATGCATGCAAGTTGAAAACCATGTTAGGAGGGGAACAGTAAATTTTGCAACAAAAAAACATCTGTTATGGTGATAAGCCAGTTGAACTTTAAAGTTGAAAAGCAAGAAATGGTTATTGGCCTGCTTATAGTTGTTGTTGTTTTTAGAGTTGTGAATTTTTTTTTGATAAGGTAACATCCTCAAGCTATAATTTAGCTTTTGCTTTTTAGGTATAGCTAAGCTAGGCTGCTGCCCATCTTAGCATGGTAGCATATTTTGGTCATCATGCAATAGTCGGCGCTGCAAACAAGTCCTGAAAATAGAGTCAAAAGAGGAAAATGCCTCATCATGTAGGGCCTTTTGCTGTTTTGTTTGGTTTGAGTGCATGGCTCCAATTGGTGATCCTCTTGAATCTTATATTATTTTCAGTCAGAGTTTGATTCTCACTCCTTTTATTCACTGATGTATATCTTCCAAAAAGTGAAAACATCAATTGCTTGCCTAACTCAAGTTAAAGAGCCTTGATCAAAAAGCTTTTTCAAAAGAAAAACCTAATGTTTAATTCATTTGGCTTGATAAATAACAAATAATAATTCGTTGATGCATTTATTAGGAATGGGAGAAGTGGTGAATCAAGAAAGTTAGGAATATGATATAGAGAAATGAAAATGCGATCAACTACTTTCATAATCAATCTAATTTCTAGTTTGTTCGGTAATTCTTCGCTTTTCAGGTATTGAATTACAGATTTTTTTATCCCTCATACGAA